TATATTGTTCTAAGAAATACACAATTCACAACTAATCTATAATATTACAAAATATTACTGGTTAACACCAAAGCTGGGAGACGACTGGCGTGCTAACGCTATAGGGTCGTAGGCGCAGCTACGCACTTGAGAACACATAAAAAATGTCAACACGTTAGTGTCGCTACATGGTAAACTAAGCAAATAATTAGGATGGACGCCAGAACCATAACCACGGCGAGAACCAGCAAGCGCTGGTTTTCACCGAGGCCGTCGGGTTTAAGGTCGGCAACGCGCTCGTAACTCCTCGGACATCGCATTCGGCGCTGGGATTGGTTTGTTTATTGAAGCCCAATCAGAGGCCTTAGTACGAGTTGGTCTTACGTTTAAGGTAATCGAAACGAGGTCGCGTCCGTCGCTCTGATTGGTTTGTTCATTGCAGCCGGCCAATCAGAGCGCCAAACGCGGACTCGTTTCAGCTTAGTACGAGTTAGCTTTACGTTCAAAGTAAAGCTAACTCGTACTAAGGCCTCAGCACCGAACGCTGTCTCGATTCGATTACTTTAAACGTAAAACAACAAACAAACTCGTACTAAGTCTTCTGACACCCTTAGATGTCTGTAAGCGGCTCCGACTTGTTTACTATCGGAAAGTTATTTGCCATAAGAAAATAGGGTGAAATAATCTGAACAAATAAAGGAAATGTTAATTATTATCTTTTCGGCTTACTCACGTAACTGTTTGACGAGGAACTGGACTAGTGTCAAGCCATGCTCGAGGCTCATATTCATGAGCAGCATTCCGCGGACCGCGAACCGCGACGCGGCTATTGTCACGCTGCTACGGTCTGTGGTCGCCGCTGCTACAATCGCTGCGCCGCCAAATTTATAGTTGTTTTTTGTTCTTATAGATGCTTCTGGACAGCGGACATGATATTAATATTGATCGTGTCTTTTACTCTCACCTACTGTCTGTACAATCGAGGTAATGCCCACAAGGATTGCTATTGAGAACCAGTTCAAACCAATTAAAAACCTTCCCTACCCTGCCATCACTTTGTGTACCCCAAACCAGATAACCAAGTCTTCCCTGGAGTATTTCAAGATCACACAAGAATTATCGCGAGAAATAAAGAGGAAGGGACCGTTTTACGATATTATAAACTTAACCGATTTAAGAGTTCCCTGGAAAAGAGCCAGGGGATTACACCAGGCCTTAACCAGCGACCTCGTATGACCAGTTAAATGCATGTGATGTGTAAGGCGCATGCCAGGAGATGAGTAAAACGATCAAATGATGAATTAAGACTGCCTTTATTATAATAATAAATTGGGTTATATAGGAAAGGATTACACGTGTATGTATACTTATTACTACCACACCTTAGGTACTACTACAGATGGCATGAAAACAAGTTTCAAAAGATGTGATATAGACGTGTGATATGACATAACATCACACCCAGTGCAGTGCAGTGCACATTACGGCACTTAATGCCACTGGACAATACACACCTACTTTCACTATTATGGTATGAGTCCCATGTAATAGGGGATGAGCCTATTGCCATACTCCGGGTACAAATTCAGGCTCCGTGCTGCCCCGGGGAATTACTTAAAAAAACCCAGTAATACTTTGCCCGAACCAGAATTCGATCCCGAGACCCCTTGCCCAGCAGTCGCACTTGCGACTACTCGGCCAACGAGGCAGTCACTGTAGATAAGTTTAATTAGTCATTAATATGTATTGTTTTCAGCTGATTTCGGCGGGGTTTTTGGTCTGTCCATGGGTTTCATCTAGATCAGTTTCTTAGAAATATTGTTCTGCATTTACCTCGCACTTAAAACCTACATCAGAAACAAACTTGATAATATGCTGTTGGCATTTAAAAACCATTTTAATACGAATGAAGCAAACCCCAACTTTAACAAAGTTACCCACATAGTCTAAAGTTTGTTAGATATTTTGTAGTAAGGTTGCTCAGGTTATATTTACTAGAAGATTATATATTGATATAATTATACGCCAGAGAACTTTAGTCGACACCGCAACGCATCATTATTCATCATCAACAGCCTTTAAGTGCCCACTGCTGACTAAAGGCCTCTTCTCGCACGGAAAAGGTTTGAGCATTAATCACCGTGGTTGCACAATGCGGGTTGGCGATTTCAAACTTGTAATTAGAAATTATACGCCCAGGTTTCCCCACAATGTTTTCCTTACCCTTTTGTCAGTGGTGTTTAAATAATCTTAGAAAGTACATTTAACTCAGACAAAAAGTTACATTGGTACGTGTTCTTTCGAACCCGCATGAGAAGCGGGCGTCTCCGAGTCACCACGACATCCTACGGCCCACCACGAGATCGTTATTATTGCTAACTATATTTTATGGAAACCTGGGACAAAATATTATGTGTTGTTGAATCGATTATTTGGTGACATTGCACATAAATCTGTATAACATAAGCTACATGATAAATTATATATAGATATACACATGAATTTAAAAAAATGTACATTTTGCAATCAAAAATGTCTATACGTTTATTTATTTATTCATATTTGTACCCCACTAAGATATGGCAGAATGTCATTGAAATAAAATAGGAAAATCATGTAAACCAGGTACCTATTTATTAAAATATGATTTATAGCCCCTTTGACCTTGACAATAAAGCACTATAAACAATTTAAATCAGATAAAGAAATAAAAATATAATTATTGACATTTGCAATAATTACAAAAGGAATTTTGTGATAAATATTTAATTACTACTATTATAATCGAAATACTATAAAAATTTAAACGGAAACCGAATGACCTAGTGGTCTGGTAAATTGGAGCCGAAATAAAATGGATAACTTTAGGCGTCTTTTGCGAAATTACTGCTTGAACAGCACAATAGTAGGACTCAAGTACTTCTATATCTATCCGGATAGATTATCAAGGCGAGTATATTCATAATATTCGGTTATTTTTGAGTTTATTACTTACATATCTGTTGAAAATATAAGGGGTAGGCACATTACGGCACTTAATGATGCCACTGTACAATATAACACCCACTTTCACTAATTATGTTATGAGTCCCACGTAATAGGGGGTGAGCCTATTGTCACATACCGGGCACATTTCCAGACTCCGTGCTACTACTGAGATTTAAAAACTCAGTAATACTTTGCCCGACCCGGGAATCAAACCCGAGACGCACTTGTAAAACAAATCACAATCTAATTATTTAACTTTTATTATGTGTAATGTGATTACTAATTTATCGATTTAAAACAAATTAACATAATATCTAGGTCATGTAATTAACAATAATCTAAAAGATGATGACGACATGGAAAGGCAAAAGAGGTCCATTGCTGCAAAAGCCAACATGTTGGCGCGCCGATTTGCTCGGTGCAGTAACGCAGTAAGGATCACTCTGTTCGTGGCTTACTGTCAGGCGTTCTACACCTGCTACCTATGGAAGAACTATACACAGCGGACGTATCACGCGTTACGCGTGCAGTATAATAATGCATTCAGAGCTATGCTCAACCTACCGTGGAGGTGTAGTGCGTCTGGCATGTTTGCCGAGAATAGGGTAGATGACTTTTATGCAGTGATGAGAAAACGGGCTGCCTCCTTCATGAACCGAATACGAAATACTGACAATATTATTGTCCAGGCTGTGTATGACTGCTGCAAGTTTGACATTTGTGACATGTAATGTAATTAATTAATTAATAATTTGTAATTTCTATTAATAATAATTTTTGTAATTTGTACTTTGTAATTTCTATTTTCTGTGTATAATTTTCTATGGGCATGTGCCTGAAATAAATGAATTTTATTTTATTTATTTATTTATTTATTTATAATTAGCCAACAAGAATGCCAAGGCGCTAGTTAAGTTAGTGTAATTTATTCGTTACATATTCTTCACACAGATGCTTCTGGGCAGTAAACATGATATCAGTGTTGGCCATGTCTTTTTCTATCACCTACTTCCTGTACAATCGTTTTGAGGTAATGCCGACGAGAATCACCATTGAGAATCAGTTCGAGCCAATAAATAGCCTTCCCTACCCTGCCATCACTATGTGTACCCCAAACCAGATAACCCAATCTGCCCTGGAGTATTTCAACACAACACTAATGTGAGTTAACCTCTTTTTAAATAATATATATTATGTATCCTCATTAGTGATCAGTGTTTCAAGATAAGCAAGTAAGACATAAGAAAAGAATTAGTCTTTGTTCAGCAGTATGGAAGTCATACAGTGAATATAGCCTTAGACATTCTAACAGAGTATTTATTTCATGTTCATTACAGTGAGGGTAACAGAACTGAATTGGAAACGTATCTACCACTAGTTTTAGGTTTTTACGAATTTGCGAGTCCCACAAACTGGACCGCGAATTTATTGAAAAAATTCCAGGATTTACTAGAAATGAACAGATTTACTGTAAGTTAATTCAATTTATTTATGTTCTCACTTAATGTAGCTTCACAATAAGTAAATTAAATCACGAGCTTTTAAAATCTTAACTGACTACATTTAATGAAATCTGTTTTTTACTTATTGGAAGTTTTGGGTGATGTTTTTCAATTTAATACTCATTTTATTGATTAGCTTTCATTTAAATAGATTCCAGATTTGCTCAGTCGTGCACCTCAAAAATGTGAAAACTTTCTGAAGCGCTGTTATTTAGAAGGCAAGCAGTATAACTGTTCAGACCTCTTCAAACCGATTCTAACCACTCACGGACACTGCTGCAGTTTTAACAATATCTACATGTTTAATGGCAAAATGTAAATGTACCAAATAAGACTCATAAGTCTATAAATTCGTCATAATGTTGTTATCAATTCCTATTGAGTAACAAACGGTGTATGTTATGATTATATTGCTCTTGTTTTGTAGGAATGTCAAAAACCGAAACTTTGTCAACCGCTATGTAAGAGCTACTGGATTTACGAAAGCATTAATAGTGGTCATAGACTATGATGAAGCAGATGTTATGAATGCTACACTACTCTACGGTGGATCAACACTGGTAAGGAATAACTACTTAATAAAAATTGTAAACATAAAAATAGTTAAATTAAAATAAAATACTTACTAAATAAATTAATCTTGACTTCTACCGGAACATTTAGAAAGAGAAAAATAATTTACATATTTGCTCAATCTTGCCATTTAGATTGAGCAAATATGATGCACAAAAAACACAAACATAAATAGTAGAATAAAAAAAACAATAAAAGCAACAACTAAAAAATATAAAAAAGAGAACAACAAGGTAGCAACATCCCACGACAAAAGGGCAACTCGGTATGAGCTGGGCACAATAAGTAGCCAACACTGGTTTTCATTTCGTAAAGTATTCCACAAAAATTAAATCACATTCGATTTTTATTTTGACTTTAAGTAAGTATACTTGTTATTAACTCTTATATTAGGGGCCGTCCATAAATTAGTCACACGTTAAGGGGTAGGGAGGGGGTCGACGAAGTGTGACATTGTGTGACAAGGGGGAGGGAGGCCGTCTAAACTTTGTGATGTCACATTTCAAAAACTATTATAAAACACGAAATATAATTGTATTAGGTAATGTTTTTTATTTTGTTTGATTTGGTATTCATATTTTTTTAAAGTAATTTAAATAGAAATGAAACTGATTTCGGAACCGTTGTTTTTATTTAATAATTTTTATACATACGTTATTGTGCAAAATGTGACGTCACACTAGGGGGGGTCTCACAAATGTGACTAGCTGTGACAAGGACGGAGGGAGGGGAAAAAATCATGAAATTCATGTGAAGCAATTTATGGATGACCCCTTATTAGAAGTGTTATCCAAATATTTGGATATATGTTTAATTACTTTGAATTTAGGTCCTAGTCTGGCGTAATATGACCTTGATGGTAGTGGTCTTGCTTTTAGGTGATGTACACAGATTGGTCAGAATTTCCATCCGATGACGAATTGTTTATCCACGATAATTATGGCGAGTCGTTCCACATCTTGTCCGCTACTTACACATATTGCTCTGAAGAAGTTAAATCGCTGCCTTTGTGGAGGTAGGGCTTAATATTTATCACCTCTTTCTATCATAAAACTTTACCGTCACAAATATTTTTACTTTCACAACGTTTTCAAATACCCGCCTCCATCACATTGCCTGGTGAGAACACCTGGCCCTTTTTTTAGAAATATCTACAATTTCTTTGTTTACCTTCTTCATTAGCCATTAAGTTTTAGACTGTAGGAAAAACGGGTAGCATTCAATCGCCGTCGTAGCGTCAAATTTATGAAATTAATAATCACTTGCCGTAATATTTGCTCAGTCAGTCAGCAAACCCTTCAAACGATTAGCCGGTTCCATAATTAGTTATTTGTAATTTACTTGTAACGGTGCTAAGAAACTGGTTTTCTTTATTTTTTTTTTTCTTTCTATAAATAAAGACATTTCCTTTTTTCCAGCCGGAATTGCTTCTTTGATAACGAGTACCACTTGGAAAACTTTTGGTACTACCGTAAATCGGATTGTACTCACTTGTGCTATGCAAATGCAGTGAAAAAAAGGTGTAATTGTACTCCTGTGTTCATACCTCACATCAAGCGCAATCCCTGTAAACTCGTTAATATTCCCTGTGTTATTGCAGTACGATGTAAGTACATAATATTTTAATCACTATCAAAACATCATCTTTGGCAATTGGGGCCTATAAAACATCTACTATTGTGCCTTCTCCGATTAGTACATGTCCCTTGCACGCTATAACTATACGACTATAATTCACGCTACACCTTTTATCAAATCCATATCACCAGGGCAAGTCATGTTGGGATTATTATGTCATCTTTCAGGGAATACGTCTAAATGGTTGACGTCAGAAAATTGCCCGTGTCTACGCGATTGCGAGTCACGCAAATACCGCGGTGATGTGAACTTGGGAAACTTCAGGGCTGCACCCTATGTAGTCAACAATCCATAGCAAGTACCTAATATTATTCAATCTTTGATCAATTTTCTTGAATACTTAACCATAATGTAATGTTGATGTGCCTCCGGAAAACATACAGCATTGCTTTGAAGAAGCAGTCGTATACTTTCAGCTCCATCTATGATCGACGTTAGTAAACACGTAGTTTTCACCTAAAAGTAACTAGATGGCGTTAGGGTGCACCAGCAAGACGCGCCGGAGCGTTAGACTTCGAATGTCATAGTCTTCACCAGGAAGAACTTCCGGCAATGCTGTATGTTTTCCCTCTCGGCACATAATATCGGTTTTGTTTTATGCAAAACCGGTATATTGATGTGCCTCCGGAAAACATACAGCATTGCTTTGAAGACGTGTTTGTTATCTGCTGGTGAAATGTATGTGCATGTAACACAACGCTATTTTGATTGATTATTCAGTAAATAAGTAAAATGTTTTATGAAAATAAGCTATTTATTCATTAATTTAACACTAGCCTACAATCAAATACAATATGAGACATAATTATACTAACTATTAATAAATTAATAATAAGTGATTTATTGAAAAATTAACTCTGTAATCGTTAGATTATGCTGGTTTAAAAGTACCAAAGAATGAATTACGATTATTTTTTGGAAGTGCTATCTCACGACAGTAATGATTAAAAAATGTATTAGAAGATTTCCAATTACCCCGTGACAAAATCTCATCTATTGGTTGATTATCTGACCACCCCAGGGAAGCCACAGCCGATCTACAGCTTCCTGGGGGTGCCTGAATCCCACTATCTCTCAACACTGATCGTATCCAGTTCCCTATCACAGTGCGGGACGCTGCTTTAATATTTTTGTTTACAGTAATAAACAGACAATTTAAGCCATCAACTTCCAACCGTCTTGTTTTATTTTTGTCGTTTAAAAGTCTAATCAAAGTGACCGGGCATATGTTTTTATCACGATGTTTAGAAAACTTCCATGCAGATTGACGATAATTATGTGTATCAGTTTTAGAACCAAAAGCTGGTATTAAATACAGTTCTTCACCATTATCAAAGAAATGATCATTTGAAATTTTAAGTAAAGTTAAATCATGGACTCTGCGTCCCGAAGCTAATAATAAAACAGTAGCCGTTTTGCGAGCTAAATCAAATAAATTGTCTTTAGGCGGATTAATTGAAAGCCAGTCCAATACTATTTGTGGATCCCATGTAGACGATGGTTTAGTAACTTTAGGTTTAGCTACTCCTATTGCTTTAAGGGTATGTTTTATAATGAAATTGGATAAAGGTTGTTGCTCTACGTGAGGTCCACAGAAGGTTAAAACTGCTGATTTGTGTACAAGAATCGTGCTGTAGGATAAGTTTTCTTTTAAGAAGAGATACATTAAAAATTTTGCAACATCAGCTGATTGTGGAGATTTTGGGTCTACTTGTCGCGTAGAACACCATGAAAGCCATCTTTTAAGCGCTGGAATGTATGTGGACAGTGTAGAAGGTCTCCAGCTTTTCTTCAAAAGGTCTTTTTCTTGTAGCGACCATTCCTTTATGTGTGCACCCCACCCCCAATTTTCCAAACTTTCAGGGTTAATGTCTGAGCCTGTGGGGGAGGCTGTAATGTCGCGAAATCTATCATGTTCTCTGCTAGATTCTGAAGCACCAGTGGATGGTCCAAAGCTCTCGATTTCAGATCTTGAAGCCAGAACGCCCGGGGCCACTCTGGTGCCACAATCAGGTAAATCCCCGTGGCCTGGTTGAGATGGGCTAGGACTTTTGGTAGTAAGGTCGGTGGGGGGAACACCCAAGCCCGTCGATAACACCATGTTCTGCTGAAGGCATCTATATAACTTGCCGATTGATCTCTGCAGTCTAGCGATACATAATTTTGTACTACAGCAGTTTCTCGTGACGCAAATAGGTCGATCTCCGGTCGGCCCCACCTCCGAAAAACTTCCGCAGTTGCTCGGGGTAGAAGATGCCATTCTGCTGGATGTTTCCCGCGAGATAGTCTGTCTGCTATTATGTTGTACCTCCCTGGTACGTACTGTGCGGATAGGGTTATCTTGAACTTGTCGATTAGGTGTAAGAGCTCGAAGGTTAGGTTTAGTAAAGCTAACGATCTGGTCCCCCCTTCCTTCCGAATATAAGCAATCAAGGTCCTGTTGTCCGAAAGGACAAGTACGTGAGTTCTTTGCAACAACTTTGCATTTTCTTTGATTGCAGCCAAAACAGCGTACAGCTCTTTTTTGTTGCTGTGCCATTTTGTTTGTTGGGGCGACCATGTTCCTGATAATAACTTTCCGTCTATGTGGGCTCCCCATCCCAAATCCGAAGCGTCCGTCGCCAGGAAATGGGTAGCTGGCTCCTTGTGTATGGGCATACTGTGGCGTGTAGCTCCGCGCCACCACGTCATATTCTGGTATACCATTCGAGGAATGGGCTGTTTCTGGCGCGGTCGTTTCTTGTCGAAATGTCGCAGAAAAATCTGCATTTTTCGGCAATGTAGTCGGCCCCGTGGTATTACGAAATTCGCAAAATTCAGTTGACCTAGTAGGCACTGTAACTCTCGAAGACTGATGTAGTCTCTGTTTAACAATCGACTGAGCGCATTGTTTAAGTTTTGAATTCTTTTTATTGGCAGTGACATGATATTCTTGGCGGTCTGCCACCGAATGCCCAGATATTCCAGATCCTGTGTTGGTGTCAAAATTGACTTTTGGTGATTGACCTGCCAGCCCAGTTGTTCCAAGTGCCTCACGGCTTCCGCAGCCTGATGACATAACTTGGATTGGTCCTGATGGACCAAAAGGAAGTCGTCTAGATAGACTAGAACCCGACATCCCTTTGCACGCAAGGTCTCCGCGACCCAGCATGTTACGGCAGAAAAAAGGTGAGGCGCTGAGGCCAGACCAAACGGTAGGCATGACATTTCGTACAAATGATCTTTGTAACTGATCCTTAAAAATGGACGGTGGGATTTTGCAACTGGTAGGTGAAAATACGCCTGAGAGATGTCTATTTTTGTCATCCAATCCCCAGGTTGAAGGAAATCTGGTATTGAAGCATGAGAAATCAGACGAAAGTGTTTTGTCTTTACAAATTCGTTCAGTTCTCGAAGATCGAATATAGGGCGCATCGTTCCGTCGCTTTTCTTCCGAAGAAAAAGCTTGGAAACAAAACTCGGTGTTTTTGTGGTAACCGGTATCAGTACACCTTGATCTACAAGGTCTTTTATAATCAAAGACATTTCCCATGATGGTTTGGTTGCATATTGCGTTAAAATTTTTCTCGTAGGCATTAATAAGGGAGGTTTCTTGTAAAAGGGTATTCGAAACCCCGAGATTGCAGAAATGATGAAATCGTTTGCACCCAATGCTTGCCAATGATTCTTGAACATTTTTAGGCAACCCCCCCTGAATTGTGGTACTGCATAGTCATTTTTTGTTATCTTTGTTTCGAAAGGAAGAATTTTTAGATTTGTAACTGTCACTTTTTCCTTTGTATGGTTTTGTTTGCTTTCTGAGGGTATCACGAAAATGTTTGTTCTGTGGTTGTGATTTGTATTTTGATGTAGAAGGGGTTGCGTCTTTATTATATTTATTTTTAATTTGTTCCCTAACTATAGTTTTAGTGGCTGTTGGTGGTGAAATCCAAAAATGGGGCCCTCCGAGGGATTGGATCAAAGACATAAGCTTCGGTTTGTCAAATAAAAATTCTTCACTAGGGGGTATGTTACTAAGTGCAGCTTGAATACTTTTATCGGAAATTTCGTTTATTAGTCTTTTGCGCCTGGTTTCAATGCACTCAGCCCTCTTGCCGCAAATTATTTGTAACGTCTGCTCAGATAATTTGTAGGACTGTGATGTCGTCCCAAACGACTCCGTAATTTTGTTAAAAAGATTATCGGGTATTAATTCCGTAGGATTGCCGTGTGCCCAATCAATTATCCCTTGTAAGCCGGACTGTAACAGTTCTCTTTGTTGCAATAAGGCGTTGGTGGTGGCAGCCATAATTTCTTCTGTTGAAGCTAAGAAATCTTTTCCTTTACTCAAACAACACATTTCATCGTTAATTTTTAAATTACAGAATCCTGGAAAAGCGAGTAAATCTGCCAACGCCTTCTTGTAACGAATATGATGCCACGCAGGCATATTAAATTGTTGCAGGTTTATTAACTGACGCAATAATTTGTCATTTGCGGGTTTGAGCACTTTTTTCTCGTCAAAAACAGTCTTACAAAGGCCTAGGTCTAAAGATTTTGGCGTTAGCGTCGACGGATTACACAAAAAATCGTTTTTCGTATTATCGGGTAGTTTATCCTCATTTTCACTAGAGTTTTCACTCGTAGTGGGCACACATTGTTGGTGCATAATAAAGTTTGTAAGAAAACATACCTGGTTGTATAACGCGTCGATCCGAGGATCGACCGTTACCTCAGTTTGTCGCTTCCGTTTTTTGCGAGGCGGTTCCTTTTCGCTTTCTGATGAACTGCTGTCTTCAGAGGTGTCCTGCTCTTCTTGATCCGGGTCCCTCTCGTTCACCGGCGAGCCCGACACGACCGGTCGGTTGGCAACGGAAGCCTCCTCGACCTCGATGTCGTTAACCGACGCGGTATTCATTGCAAATATCGAAAAATTTAAACTTAAGTTAATTTAGGAGTTTAGACTCACTTAAGAAGGTTTTTAAAATATTTTTATATTCAAAGTACTTTTGCACAAAGATTTACAGTTAAGTTGTAATATCGACCGAACACGGCGAAAGTACACAACGCTATGACATTCGAAGTCTAACGCTCCGGCGCGTCTTGCTGGTGCACCCTAACGCCATCTAGTTACTTTTAGGTGAAAACTACGTGTTTACTAACGTCGATCATAGATGGAGCTGAAAGTATACGACTGCTTCTTCAAAGCAATGCTGTATGTTTTCCCTCTCGGCACATAATATCGGTTTTGTTTTATGCAAAACCGGTATATTAATATTCGTTAACCAATGAAACAATTGCCGTAATCGTTATCGGTCGGATAGATCTTAAATTAAACTTAATCTTTTAACTTGGTAGTGTTACATAGTACAGAGAGTTCTGAGAGAACATAAAAGTAATATTTTCTTCTTTCTATTTTTGTTGCTTTTTGTGCAATTAAGTATGTTTCTATTTGCAGTAAAGGTATGGTTTTGAACGACACTACCAGTGCGCTTCATTTCTTCTTCACGAACCCGGTGTTTTTAAAGAAAAAACAAGAAACTGTTATGTCCATCATCAGCTTAGCTTGTAAGTATCGATTTCTTACGATTTGAGACTCGATTAAGCCGGCTCCTGATTAAAAAACATTTTATCACGTGGACCTCATAACACCACCACACACCTCAGTCATAGCATCTAACATTTCTGGCCTTAAATTCAAATAAAAGCCTTTGATTCAAAAGAAACCTGTGGAGATCGAATGGTAACCATGGATCGGAAAATGTAGCATGAGCAGTATTCCAAGGAGTATAAAATTTCTCATACATAAACTATTCATGGAAGATCATCAATGTGAAATAAAATAATTATATATAGATGTCTCGGGACATGTGATAGTCGTAAATAACCACAGCGTATTATTTTCAGCTAATCTGGGAGGTGTTTTTGGCCTGTTCTTGGGTTTCAGCTGCATCAGCTTCTTAGAAATATTATTGTACATTTACGTCGGACTCAGAAACTACATTAAAAATCGTTTGAATATGAATTAACGAATCTGTACCTTAAAGACTAATGTTATGTTTCATTTTAGTACGAGTAGTAATGTTGCTCAGGTTACATGTACACCCATGCTAAATATTACGCCTGGCTTTACTTACAAATATGTATTATCTGACAATAGATTACATACGAGATACTTATAAATACCTAATCTCACGACAACTTTTTACATCATCTGAATTGAACAGCATTTATGCTAATGAAAACTAAACGTGCATGCAAAATTTTACCTTAATCGATTGAAAATCTGCTTCAAAATTTAGTGTCAGGACTTTTACACATAACATATTGCAAGTTAAATAAAAACTTTAAAAACTTCTAGGTGTTTTATTCATAAAACAGTTTGCTTTAGATTTTAGTAAACACCATTTTTGTGATTTATTAAAACATACTGTGTCTATATTATTAAGAGATACATTTTACTTGGTTTGATTCCCTTGTGAATTTAGTGTATTAACAATAACTATCGTGGCACGTAAGATGCCGCGTAACCTTGTCATAAATAAGAGTCCCAGAGTGACTTGAAACTAGTAGAGCTTTCCTCGAATAGTTCATGTGAGAGAGTTAGTTAATTGAGATTATTGACAATGCATTTTGTTTGGCATAAACGGCCGTAGTTAATATAAAAATAAATGGCCGTAGTTACGTTAGTTGACCTTGAACATGCAGGGTGCGACATTTAGGTAATTATCCACATCCGCTATGAAAACGTAATTTTTGGAATATTAATTAGTATTCGTGACAAGTACTGTTATAAATATTGAATTGCATTAATAAAATTGGAACTGGAACTCTTTAAAAGGCTAATCGGAAACCTAATGAATTTAATGATCTGGCAAATTGGAGCCGAAATAAAATGGATAAGTTTTGGCGCCTTTTGCGAACTTACTGCTTGAATAGTACAATTGTAGGACTTAAGTACTTCTATATCTATCCAGATAGATTATCAAGGTGAGTATATTCATAGTATTCGTCTATTTTTGAGTTTCTTACTTATCTGTTGAAAATATAAGTCTGGGAATGATACTCCAAATTGCAAAGAAAAATGTGGGAAATTCTCCATAAGTTAAATCTTGTTTCTCACACAGATGCTTCTGGGTAGTGAACATGATATCAGTGTTGGCCATGTCTTTTTCTATCACCTACTTTCTGTACAATCGTTTCGAAGAAATGCCAACAAGGATCACCATAGAAAATCAGTTCGAACCAATAGAAAACCTTCCCTACCCTGCCATCACTCTGTGTACCCCAAATCAGTTAACCCAGTCTGCCCTGGAATATTTCAACAGTACGCTTATGTGAGTTGACCATTTTGTAAATTGTATATATATATATATATGATACCTATATGTCTTTATAAGTAATTGCAACGAACGTGATCGCACTATAATATTTCCTGTGTAGTTGGCTAGTCTAGTTAGACTTGCCACCATGATCGAAGTCGATCATGGTGGGAGCCTTTATTTATTTATTTTATTTCAATTTTTGTTCATGGGAGGAGTTTGAAGGAGAAGGAGTCCTCATTTTGAAAGAGTATTTGTTTATTTTTCTTTACAGTGAGGGTAACAGAACTGAATTGGAAACTTATCTACCGCTAGTTTTAGGTTTATACGAATTTATTAGTCTCACGAACCAGACCGAAAATTTATTGAAAAGTTTCCAGGATTTACTAGAAATGAACAGATTCACTGTGAGTTTTATTTAATTTATTTATGTTGTTATAATTAAATAAATTTGGCTTTACAACACGTAAATTATTATGATAGTAAAAAATTTGACTGTAGCCTATAGTAAAATTTTTGGTTTTTATAAAATTGTTGGTAGGTAAAACAGCACTTGGGAATGTCATACACATACTGTGACACTAATGGGTCGGCTCGACAGGGGTGATAGCACGCCCTCACGGCAAATCGGCGTAAAACATCGTTTGCGTTGCGTTTCTCGTGCGTTTAGTTACCGGTCGCCCAATCCTCCGCCCCGTCCCCAATCTTCAAATCACTAATCCCTAAATCGGAAGAGTTACAAGTGCATTGTAACTTCTCCCGGGTCGCGGTTATCCATAGGTGGTACCGTCCACTCGTTAGCCGTGCCAAAGCCAACCCAGTAGACTCACAACATAATTGGTGATGTTACATTAAATATCTGTTCTTCAATATGTGCATATTTTTAATGATTTGCTTTAATTTCCGAAGATTTCAGATTTGCTTAGTCACGTCCCTCAAAACTGTGAAAACTTTCTGAAGCGCTGTTATTTAGAAGGCAAGCAGTATAACTGTTCAGACCTCTTTAAACCGATTCTTACCACTCACGGATACTGCTGCAGCTTTAACAATGTCTACATGTTTAATGGCAAAATGTAAGTGTACCAAGTACTCTTTTTATCAATTTCTATTGATTAACATACAGTGTATGTTATGATTGTATTGCTCTTGTTTTGTAGGAATGTGAAAAACCGAAACTTCGTTAACCGCAATGTAAGAGCTACTGGATTCACTAAAACGCTGCTAGTGGTCATTGACTTTCAAGAAGAAGACGCTATGAATGCTACAATACTCTACGGTGGAGCAACACCGGTAAGAAATACCTACTTATTTAATATATATAAACACATGAACATAATTAATTAAAATGAAGGTATGTATAATCACAGTTGTCTACTACCACGGTAATATTATCATGCAGGCTCAGTTCTCTATTAAAAATTTCTAGCAGATCTACCTACTTGTACAAACACGCAGATCCTTATGCAGATTAATGGCTATAGAACTGAACTGAAGCGGAAATGGAAATCAGCTATGAAGTCGAGGGTTGAACTGTAGGGAGAAGACAGTCTCAAAGTCTGTCGTCTCAAGAGGAATACCATGTCTGAACTAGAGACAAGATTCGTAGACATAATTTATGCATGGCCCCATGACAAGGGGTCGAATTTGGAAATCAACCGAAAATTCTTCGCTTATTTCTTTACGGTCTCGGTTCACCTTGGTTTTCCTGGTCTAGTCTAAACCTGATGACTGTGGCTTTACTTTTAGGTGATGTACTCAGATTGGTCAGAGTTTCCGTCGGACGACGAATTATTTTACCACGATAATTATGGCGAGTCGTTCCACACCTTGTCCGCTACTTACACGTATTGCTCTGAAGAAGTCAAATCGCTGCCTTTGTGGAGGTAGGGCATATCTTTTATCACATTTCTTGTTATACAATTTTACTCGGTCTACTATTTTTACATTTACAACGATTACAAATAATAAGTAAACTCGTTACCTTTTTGCAGTCGGAATTGCTACTTTGATAACGAGTACCACTTGGAACACTTTTGGAACTACCGTAACTCTGACTGTACCCACTTGTGCTATGCAAGTGCAGTGAAAAAAAGCTGTAAATGTACTCCCGTGTTCATTCCTTACATCAAACGCAATCCCTGCACACTTGTAAATATTCCCTGTATTGTTGCAGTACGATGTGAGTAGTTCATATTTTAATCGCTAAAGAAGCATCATCGTTATCACCACTGGGGTCTAACGGATAGGTATTCGCCTGTGTGTTATTTTAATGCATGCCCTTTATCATATATACAAAGAGTACCGTACTAGATACACGCAATCTTAAACAAAATTTCTTATAGATGATATCTTAAACATTTCCAAAACGATTTTTTAGTTGAATTATTTTTTTCTACAAGACATTAAATGACATAGGATTGATTCAGGAACAGCCAGGATGTTGTGTCGCGTATCCTCCTTTTTCTTATTTTAACCCAGAAACTTTTGAAATGCATATCACCCGGTCAACTCATGCAATTGCACCTTTCAGGGAATATGTCTAATTGGTTGACGTCGGAAAATTGCCCGTGTCCACGTGACTGCGAGTCACGCAAATACCGCGGTGATGTGACCTTGGGGAACTTCAGGGCTGTACCCTATGTACTCAACGATCCATAGTAAGTACCTAATATTATTCAGTTTTTGATAATTTTTCATACAATGCTAATATTCTTCAACCGATGAAGCCATAACCGTCATTGTTATTGATTGAATTGAGTCTTTTAAAATTCGATCTAGATGTTTCGTATGATATAGTTTAGTTTACTAAACTTAATCTTTCAACTTATAGTTGTTGTAGTTACAAAAGACAGAGAGAACACAAAAGTTCTTTATTCTTCTTTTTATTCAAGTTGCTGTAAGTGTCATGTTTCTATTTGCAGTAAAGGCTTGGTTTTAAACTACAGCACCAGTGCGCTTCATTTCTTTTTCAATAACCCGGTGTTTTTGAAGCAAAAACAAGAAACTGTAATGTCCATCATCAGCTTAGCTTGTAAGTACCGATTTCATACGACCTGTTTAAACCATTTTATCACTAGCACCACATAGATTCGTTTACGTTTCACCACGTTTCACCAAATTATACCAAAGACAAAAGAATATCAGTCATTGCATTCAGCAAATTTCAGCTAAAGGTCTCTGCACAGAGCCGTCGGTTACCGTCGCGTCGAGCGGGACGGCTCTGTGTGGCGCCGCATGTATATATTACGGATGGCGCGCCGCGCGCCGTCCGTAATATATACTTAGTACATTACAACTGCTCAGTATCGCATCGCCGTCCCGTCCCGCCGCGCCGCGCCCGCTGTGTGCAGAGACCTTAAGACAAAGATGTTGATTCAAAGGAAACCCGTGCAGATCAAGTTCCACGAATCGGAAAACGTAGCGTGGGCAGGCTTCTTGCATTCCAAGGAAAAATAAGCGAAATAGGTCCGATACATAAGCCAAAACGTGCATTTTTCTCTTTTGAGCTAATTTAGTTAAACTTCTTTATAAATCCGATGCAATGCAACAGCTGCACCGCATGCCCGTAACATTCCTAGACAACCTACAACATTGTAGCTGTTCTGTGTTTAAGGTACCTGCAGCTGTGCGCAAAAAATTTCATAAATGATTTTTTTAAATTATTTATTTTGTTTCAAAAATTTCAATATTTTAATTTTTGGTTTTCGTTGAATTATTTGTGTTTTTACACCTACTTCTATGAACTTACTTGTAGTTTCATTTAACAAATATGAGTGATCTCCATACTGTATAAGTGTCTCGGGACACGGATGATCAAAATATATTCTAAATCACAATTTATATGTTTTTTGTTTAGTCCTAAATAACTTCAGCGTTTTATTTTCAGCTAATCTGGGAGGAGTTTTTGGCCTGTCTTTAGGTTTCAGCTGCATCAGCGTCTTAGAAATACTGTTCTATATTTACCTTGGACTCAGAAACTACATTAAAAGTCGTTTAAATATGAATTAAACAAATCTAAACTTTAAACACTGATGTTATGTGTCATTTTAGTAAAAATGTTGCTCAGGTTAAATGTACTACTATTAAATGTGTAAGTTATTCAGTATTCCACTTCACGCACACATGCATACAGACATACATACATACATTCATACACACATGATTTGCTATGTATCTATAAATGATAGATACGTTGCAAATTATACAAAAGCTTGTAACAAGACCATAGGTTTTTAGTGAAAGTTTCTATTCATACTGCACCTAAGTCTAAAGGACGTTTAACTCGTCGAGTACCGGATTTGTAGACACAATTATAGAACAATAGGTTGCGGTCACCGGTGACCGCTTGGTGTTTGACAGTTTAATTTAGATTTTGTAAACATTATTTTAGTGGTTTATTAGAACATGCTGTATCTGAATTATTAACTACTAGATATACATTTAGCTTAGCATTTTACGTCATTGCTGCATCGTCTATTACTTTTGATTTCTGTGTATTAACAATAACATGATGCCGTGTTACCTCGTCATAAATAAGAGTCCCCGAGTGACTTGAAACTAGTAGAGCTTTCCTCGAATAATTCATGTAGGTGAGCCATATAATTAATTAATCAATTGAAATTATTGTAAATGCGTTCCATTTTAAATAAATGGCTGTAGGTATGTTGTTTGGCCCTGAAAATTAAATACAGGGTGCAACATTTAATTATTCACATCAGATATATAGAAAGTGTAATTATTGATATGATACTAATTAGTATTCGTGACAAATACTGTTTTAATTATTAATTGCATTGCTTATAAAACTGGAACGGGAACATTTTAACTTTGTAAACAGAAACCAATACAAATTTTAATTATCTGGTAAACATATTGGAGGCGAAATAAAATGGATAAGTTTTGGCGCCTTTTGCGAACTTACTGCTTGAATAGTACAATTGTAGGACTCAAGTACTTCTATATCTATCCGGATAGATTATCGAGGTGGGTATATAATGTAAATAATATAGTATAATATTAAAATAATACTATATGAATGAAATCGTTGAAAATTCTCCAAGGTTAAATCTTGCTTGCTCCTCACACAGATGCTTCTGGGCAGTGAACATGATATCAGTGTTGGCCATGTCTTTCTCTATCACCTACTTTCTGTACAATCGTTTTGAAGAAATGCCGACAAGGATCGCCATTGAGAATCAGTTCGAACCAATAAAAAGTCTTCCCTACCCTGCCATCACTCTGTGTACCCCAAACCAGATCACTAAATCTTCCCTGGAGTACTTCAAGACCACACTTATGTGAGTTGACGATCTTTTTTACGTAATAAACCTTTTTTTTACCGTACTTACTCATATTCAAATTCAAACACAAATTATGTCGATTTTTCAATACAATAAAATATTTAAAAATAATCACATTACTTTATTTAACGATATCCTTATCTTTTTTACATTTTAGCAAAATTTTGTATAATATAAGTTTTCTTCTTGACTCAAAAATATTATTATGACTCTTAAGTTACAATCTTATAGAGAATTCATATACCTAATATTATAATGTAATAGATCTGGAGCTTATGTAATGGTACGGTACCTCATTTGTAAAATACTAGTTTATTGGTACCTAATATGTGTTATTGTATCTTTCTTTTAAATTTGCATGCCTTTAAGGTAGAATATGGTTAATGGACACTATTTTGTATAAGACCTTTTTTTTTGTACCCATGTTCGCAAATTAACTCGTCGAGTACCGGTTTTGTAGACACAATTATAGAACAATAGGTTGCGGTCACCGGTGACCGCTTGGTGTTTGACAGTTTAATAAATGCCAGTAATACTTTGCCCGACCCGGGAATCGAACCCGAGACCCCTTGCCCGGCAGTCGCACTTGCGACCACTCGGCCAACGAAGCAGCAAGTGATTATATATTGTATTATAATTGTGTTAATGAAAGTGTAATTGACTATTTTTTATTTACAGTGAGGGTAACAAAACCGGTTTGGAAACATATATACCGCTAGTTTTGGGCTTTTACGAATATATTGATATTACGGACCAGACACGTGACAAGTTGAAAAGATTCCAGGACTTGTTAGAAAAGAATAGATACACTGTAAGTATCACCTAGTCGGTAATCAGTCAGAGCTCGATACTAATGTAATTTCGGTAAATACTGTGAGTTGAGCGAATGTTATAATTATAGCCAAAGTTAATAACCTCCAACTAAAGTAGAAAATCCCTTTGAAACCTGTCGTGGCTATCGTCGTCTCGAAAAGACCAACAGGACCGCTAGAGACCAGACTCATCGTTACCACAAACGGCATTCGTTGTATTTCGTCGTGTGAGTGAAGTTACCGGAGGCCTAATTACCCAATCTCCTGATAATCCCTGAATCCCCAACAATCCTCAAATTCCTAATCTCTAAAAGGCTGGTAACGCACTTGTAACGCCTTTGGTGTTTCGGGTGGCCATAGACCGCGGCAATTGCTTACCATCAGGTGATGCGTCTGCTCGTTTACTAGCTTATTCCAATAAAAAACTGGTACCTCAGTTTGCTGAAATTAATTTTTGCAATAAGCTAGACTGAACAATAAATATACTGCTTCTTTTTCTTGGCTATTTCTATAGCATGTAACTTTGGTAACTATTTACATTTTACATGCTACACTTTATTCTTTCGTTTGTGCAGGTTCCAGACTTGCTGAGTCGTGTACCCCAAATGTGTAATAGGTTTCTGAAACGCTGTTATTTAGAACGCAAGATGTACAATTGCACAGACCTCTTCAAACCGATTCTAACTGCCCGCGGGTACTGCTGCACCTTTAATAATAACTATATGTTTAATCACAGGATGTAAGTTATTTTCAAGTATTTGAGTATTGTATAATAACTATCGTTAGATATGCTAAATTAACTCGTCGAGTACCGGTTTTGTAGACACAATTATAGAACAATAGGTTGCGGTCACCGGTGACCGCTTGGTGTTTGACAGTTTAATTGAGATGACTTACTCTCGGAAGCTCTACGAGTTTCAAGTCAAACCGGGACTTGTATAGTCATATTCATGAACAACATCTGTGCTAGTCGTGATCAGTACGTCGCCTGAGGAGGTAGTGTTGTCGAGTGCAGTGTGAGTATCGCGGAATAAACAACACCACGGGCACAAAATATCCCCCAGTAAAAAAGCAGATTTGTTAAAACTCAACTATTTCATTACTTGTATCTGTGTTAACCTGATTTGGATTTGACTACGTCTCTCGTTTTTCGAATAGTGACGATTCTTGTGTCACGGTATTTGTTTGAGCCTTGTTCACTACTTAAGTAATAATAGTCTGGGATGTATACAGTCGATGAAAAGTGACTAAATTAACATAGGTTCTGTTTTGTAGGAATTCCAGAGACCCAAACTTCGTGAACCGCACAGTGAAAGCTACAGGATTGACTAATGCTCTGGTAGTGGTCACTGACTACGAGATGGAAGACTCTATCAATGGCACACTACTAAACGCTGGAGCAGTTCCGGTACATTATTTAATTTAACTTTTATGCATATAACACAAACTTTGCCAAACCATTTGTCAGTTTTAACTGGAAATTTCTGGATATTGGTAACTTTCTAGCTTTACTTCTAGGTGATGTACACAGACTGGACCGAATTTCCATCAGACGACGAATTAACCTATATAGATGGATACGGCGAGTCATTCCATATCATCTCAGCTACTTACACGTACTGCTCAGACGAAGTCAAATCCCTGCCTGTGAGAAGGTAGGATAACATAATAACTTTTATCGTTTAAACAGCTTTGCCCCGTGATATAATTTTTTCTTGTGTAATTGAAAGAAAATCTTTAGGAAAACATAGATATTTATGTAAACCGTTTACCTTTTTTTCAGTCGAAATTGCTATTTTCATGACGAGCATGTTCTAGATCACTTTACGAGCTACCATAACTCGGACTGTGACCATCTGTGCTATGCAAATGCGGTGATAGAGGCTTGCAACTGCACTCCTCCCTATATACCGAACACTGGTAGAAGCCACTTCTGCACACTCGTCGATATCCCCTGTATTATTGATGTAAAATGTAAGTGCCCTGTAACATTACATAACGTTGTTGTAATAATTGGAATACGGCCCTGCTGAACATGGTGAGGAGTCCACTTATAAATAACTTACCAAAAATTTTAAAATCGTTGCAGGCCGTCTTTCGGAGGGTGGGTGAAACCAAAAATGTTATTTTTAATGTTATGTTTACTCTATTAAATGTCGTTTACCCCTGGTATGGAAGAACGTAGATCTACGTTCCAGATTCTTCTTCTGGTGTTGTATTTAAAATTTATTGTAATTGTTTAAAAGTGTAGATGCCTAATTTTTATTTTAATGTGTAATTTTTATTAATGTCTGGTAGAATATTTTAAACAATTAGATACGTATTAAATATTTTCTTACAGAAACGAATAGGTGAGCGTGTCGTCACTTCTATGTACATTTTATACGTAGATTCGTTTTATATAAGTATTATTTTTTACTATACGACAAAATAATGAAAAAATACTAGACACGTATTTTTTTTATCTGACGGATTAAATAGATTTTTAATTTTCATACCCCGTCATCATCCTATTGCATAAAAATATTTCGTACTAAACAAATAATAATTTTTCTACAACTTCAACTTTTATTTTTGAATATTTCAAATTATTTTCAGGGAATATGTCCAATTGGTTGACAACGGAAAATTGCAAGTGTCTACGAGATTGCGAATCACGGAGATACCATGGTGAAATGAGTTTGGGAAACTTCAACGCTATTCCTTACACACTTAAAAATCTGTAGTAAGTAATTCATACAATAAGGCTAATAAAAAGAGAGTGTATTAAAAATAAATAGACGTGTGCAAGTGTGTTTTACACGTCAATTTTATCAAGAGAACGATGAGGCCGACAGTTCCTAACTGACTACTCTGAGAAGAAATGCCGAAACAAACTCAGAGGTCTGTCTCTTTTACAGTCCAGACAAATGTGTATAAAAGATTATGTGTGAGAACCGTGCAAGTTCTTTCTGTAATGACCTTTTGAGGAAAGAACCACAACAGTTTGAGCGGACCCGTTCTGAAGGCAGTACGCATGTGTCGTTTTACAATCAGCTCAATTAACAGGTGAGGCTGACAATCCCAACATAAAGAACATTTGGGTCGCACAAATACTCAAACTGTCAGAATATGGGTAATTAAGTAGAAAAGGAATGGCGAGGCAAAGTCTCGCACGGTCCTTGCACTAACAATTGTAAAAAATAAAAAGTAGGCAAAAGTCAAGGTAGAGAAAAATATAAAATTTCGACGAAGTCGTTTTAACACAGCGCTAATCAATCTGAATCATGAGATTGAAAATTACCTCTCGACTGAAGTTTGAACAGATCACATATTAAAATAGGCTTTCGATTTTGTACCTACGGCGCTAGTGACAAAAATTAACAAACATTCTATTGTTCAAAAGATTTTAAGCTCCACTAGCGCCTCTAGTGGTACGAAGATCCTCATTTTCTAATTCTCGCTTTCGTGGTATTTGTGAACGTTCGACTTACATGTTTCTAAATTTTAATTTGCAGTGATGGCTTGGATTTAAACAACAGTACCAGTGCATTTCATTTCTTCTTCTCCAACCCGACGTATTTGAAGCAAAAACAAGAAACTGTTATGTCTATCATCAGCCTAGCTTGTGAGTACCAAATTAATTCTTATTAAGTTTTGATTCGTGCTATGATCGGGTTGCAAGAAACCTCGTTATGTCATAAGACGGATACAGCCAAACAGTTTCTGTTTTATTCATAACTAGCGACCCGCCCCGGCTTCGCACGGGTGCAATGCTTATGTAATTTACGACATCACATTAGAAACCTGTAAATTTTTCAGTATCTCTCTACTATGTTATGCATTTATTAACATAAACCTTCCGTAAAATTACTCTATACATTTAAAAAACTGCATCAAAATCCGTTGCTTAGTTTTAAAGATCTAAGCATACATAGGGACAAACAGACGGTGGAGAGCGACTTTGTTTTATCTAACCCATACCGGTAATATCATGATGACAATGAATTAAAGCCTGATAGATTCCTCGGTAAATACGACCGTGTTTGTTGTTTCAGCTAATCTGGGAGGTGTATTCGGCTTGTCCATGGGCTTCAGCTGCATCAGCTTCTTAGAAATATTGTTCTACGTTTACCTCGGACTCAAAATGTACATTAGAAATAAACTTGCTAAGGTATTCTTGGCAATTTCAAATCATTACAATTAAATAAATTCTAGCTGGATTTATGCAGTAGCGTAGTTTGTTAGATTTTTAAAGTAAGCTTGCACAGGTTACATGGACTAGAAGATAATTTATTTACTATTATAATACGCCAGACACACAAATGTCCCTCGACACATCTTGTCGACTACGCAACGCTGATTTTCTCTAGGAATATTATGCGATGCGTATCAACTTTTTTGTTAATGGAATCATTAAATGATTTATTTGACTCTCGTCCTTGGTGAGGCGAAAAGGTGTGTCAGACTACTCACTAAAGACCACCATAACTGCATGGTTTCTGGTTTGTAATAATTCACGAATTGCTGTTCTGGGGACTCTTCAATCCAATTCCGATCGATCAACATTGTTATTGTGAAATTTCATACTCTTGAGTTGCAATAGTAACGCCCATTGCATCCGTATTGCGTGGATATAGAATGAACTAAATGGTATTGAGTTCGGCGTTATATTGAATATTCTGAATCATCTGGATTGGGATTGTATAGTTTTGACATTGAATAATTATTTAGATTTTATTGAATTGAAATTTCATTGACATTGAGATTGGTTTCAAGTGTAAGCACCCTGGGTGCTTACTCTTGAATTCAATTCCGATCGATTGACATTGGTATTGTGAATTTTCGTACTCTTGAGTTGCAACACTAGCGCCCATTGCATCCTGATTGCGTGGATATTTAATAAACTAAATTGTATTGAGTTTGGCTTTATATTCCGTACTCTGAATGCTATTGTAACAGCTACGATTGGGGTTGTATAGTTTTGACATTGAATAACTATTGAGATTTTATTGGATTAAAATTGCATTGACGTTGAGCTTGGTTTCGAGAGTAAGCACCCTGGTCTGTGTTTGTGAAATAATGTGTTTGTATTGTAAATACACCCATGACACAGGAGGAATATCCTAGGGACGAAGTTAAAAGCAACTTCTCAAGACATGTCGCCTTTGTCGGCCTCTGATATTAACTTCTTTATATTTTTATCCGTTGTATACTTGCAAATACATCTATATAATATAAACTACATAGTAAATGAATGAGACTATTCATAGTAATTAAAAAAAACAGCTTGACCCTGTGTGACTGTAAACTATTACAATATATGCATGCATGTACCTCAGTAATTTTTTTTAAATAAAATCTGTGTATACACATATTTGTTTGGTTTTTATTTATTCCTTTCTATATACATATAGTAAACAGGACAACATACTTATTAGGAGTATAGAGGTATAGTCAAGTTGAAGCTCATTTGGCGTTGAAAAAAGCACTGTAAAGAATGCAAATCAAATGAAAATATAAAAAAATGTAATCTAAGTTAAAAAGTTTGTTTCTTCAAACACGCTATTCTCCGAAACTATATGTTCGAATTTTACAGTACAGATTGAGATACAGTGTGTTTCAATTCTTAAATTATGTTTTATATCATAACGCCTTCCTCGATCTATCCAATACAAAAAGAGTTATCCAATTCAAACGTTCCAGAGAGCACATTCAAAAGAACAAACTCTTTAGTTGCTTAACCCTTTAACCGCCAAGATTCTGAACTTTCAACTTACCTCCAGCGCCACGTCACTTTAGGTATAAGTTGGAACAGTGTTGGGAACACTTAATATCGATGCATATATTCTTTATTAATTAAAATCAATGTTTTATTTACCTACTTAATAAATAATCTAAAAATTGTCAATCTTCAAACGAAGTATACGAAAATGTGTATTCGGGAAATGGGCACGGCGTCGTCCGTTCTCCTGCTGGCGACGGTGACGATGCTCCACGAGCATGTCGTATTAAATTTAATAATTTCATGTAAACTTCTGAGCGGATTTCCGACAGTACGGTTTCCAGCTCAAAAGGTTTTAAAGATGCAAAGTATTCATTTCGTGGATCACTTGGTCTCTGATCAAAAACTTTTGCGTCACCATCTTCTAACTTTGCATAATGGACACATTTGGTTTTGACTGTGTTGATTTATTTGAGAAATAACAAAAACCCAAAAAAGGGCTTACAACACTAGTTGCATTGAGTGATAAATGTTTAACGTGATTTTACGGTGACGGCGCTAAGGCAACTCACAATACAGCGCTATAATCTCCTTGGCCGCACGTAATATTACGATGATGGCGACCGGCGATTGTCCGCACTAGTGCGGTTCTGCGTTATGAAATTTTTATATTATTGTTATAAATATTAAATAATTTTAAACTTAAATACATTTTAATTAGTACAAATACTTGCATCAAAGTAACACTATGGTTATTTTCTAATGAAAGTATACACTTTCATTGCAAATAGTGACAGTAATATCTATAGTGCCTTGTTTGTTCTTAGACAACCTATTAAGTATTTTTCGAATTCGCCCCATCCCTAGTACTCGTAAAATTACGTGATTGGCGATACAGATAATGGAGACGTTGACCACAATTTAATTAAACCTCAAATTTCACAGTATTTATCACTCAAAACATTGAGAAATATCCATAACAATAAAGATTATACCCTACATCTTGAAATTGACACATTTTATATGGAGTTTGTGCACTATAAGAAGATTTTTAATAAAATAACGTGATAGTACGTATGTGGCGATTCGGACACAGCTTTCGAAAACCGTAATATTACGTTGTCGGCGGTTAAAGGGTTAAGGAATATACAAAGGCCGTAAGTATCCCGCCGGCTCTTTTACGTTTTTGTTGCAAATAACATAGCTAAGTTAGAAACCTATAGCCCTTTTGACCTTGAAAATAAAATGCAGAGTGGGGCAATTAGTTATTCACACCAGAAATAGAATATATTATGTTGATATGATGTTAGCATTCGTAACAACTGTCGTTATAAATCTGTGGTTGGGAAGTTTAGTCTGCAGAAGACACAAGAGTAATTGAATAGGACCTTCCGTATTTTTGCTTACTAGATCTGGCAGGTTGATTACTGATCAGGCTCATGTTCAAACTAAAATTAATCTTAGGTATGATCACTGAAAAATGTAACCCATTCATTCATAACGTCACACCTTTTATTCCCAAATAATGTGTTTGTATTGTAAATACACCCATGACACAGGAGGAATATCCTAGGGACGAAGTTAAAAGCAACTTACGGTACTTAACACGTTAACCGCCATGGCAGTCACTGGTGACCGACATTAGCGGAGGATTTGCCTTCAATAGTTTTTTATTGGCAGCCAATGCCTTAACCTCTTGTCTGCTGGCATATGAGACACAATAGATAACACATTGTGCCTCGCGTATATCTACGCTCCCGGCATACCAAGGGTTAATGCCACTGTACAATGTAACACTTTTCAAAATGTATGTTATAAGTCCCATGTAATAGGGGGTGAGCCTATTGCCATATACCGATACCGAACACAATTCCAAACTCTGTGCTACTACTGAGATTTTTTTAAATCCATTATTAGTTTGCTCGACTCGGGAATCCAACAACAAGGGGTCTCCCCTTGCCCAGCAGTCGCAATTGCGACCACTCGGCCAAGCAACGAGGCAGAAAGAAGTAACTGATTTCAATAATCCAAAATTCACTATTTTTAGGAATCCTGCGACTCCGGAGAAAATCTTGTATGGGATCACGTGAAAAAGATATGGTAGGTAGAAGTGGTCCCTAACATGCTAAGATATAAATATTTTATTTTTTTATTGATTAATCTAAAACTGAAACACTATAAATAGGGTAAACGGCGACCGAATGAATTAAATAATCTGACAAATTGAAGCCGAAATAAAATGGCTAGTTCTTGGCGCCTATTGTGAACTTACTTCTTGAAAAACACAATAGTAGGACTTAACAGCAGAATTAACGGAGGCGTTGGTTTTGCCTTGACTTCGTCGTGAGTTGATGTTTTCCACTTTTAGTCTGGACTCTACCTACACGGTTTTCCAATCTGAACTATAACGTTTTGAACAGAGCAGTTAAAATGGTTCTAGTCAGCAGAGCGACTAGGGTAAACATATTGAGTGACTCTAGGTCCTCCCTCGATATCTTGAAGAATCCCAGGATTACCCACTGTTTGGCCAAGGAGATAAAGGCATAAAGCAGTGTTCGGAGACCGTAACGGAACAGGGAAGAGAGATTCGATTTTACTGGCTGAGGGCCCATATTGGAACGGCCGGAAATGAGAGGGCAGACGAATTAGCTAAAACCGCTGCCAAAAAGAAAAATAACACCACGGCAGACTACTGTAGAGTACCCATGTCCTATGTCAAAAAGATAATTAGGGACGAAACTATCTACATCAACCACTGGGCAGGTAACTAAAACGTTTCTCCCAGATGTCCATGAGGCATATCGTTTAGTGAGATCGACAAAGTTGAAGTTCAGGCGCTGACTGGACATGGAGGGTTCGCTGAGTATCTGCATCCATTTAAACTAAAAGAAAGTGTAGGTTGCGAATGCGATTCAACTATCAGTGAGTCTGTATGGCACATAATTTTAGAGTATCTTCGTTTTCTGTCCGCCAGAACCAACTTAAAGAATGCAATAGATAGATACAAATCTGGATTCAAAAGACTGCATTTTCTGAGCTACATTGAAACCATCTTCAACTGGGCGGCTATAAGAAACAGCACATTAAATAACATAACATAACATAACATCACGCCTTTTACCCCCGAAGGGGTAGGCAGAGGTGTACATTATGCCACTGTACAATGTAACACCCACTTTTCACTATTTATGTTATGAGTCCCATGTAATAGGGGGTGAGCCTATTGCCATATACCGGGGACAATTCCAGACTCCGTGCTACTACTGGGAATTTTTGAAAAACCCAGTAATACTTTGCCCGACCCGGGAATCGAACCCGAGACCCCTTGCCTGGCAGTCGCACTTGCGTCCACTCGGACAATGAGGCAGGCAATGAGGCATTAAATAATACAAGTCAAATAGCCAGCTTGGGGAATCAACCAAATACTTCCATGGCAGTATCCGAGATCGCCCGTACCACTAAACCGCTCACCATCAATGAGAGGCAAATACTCTTACATGGAGAATGCGGCTTCAAAGGAATACGCCTACGAAGTGTGGCTCTGTTCATGAACACCAGCAGCGAAAGGCTAGGGATATCCTTCTGCGAAAACAAGAACAGCAAATGGCTCACCATTTCCCCGGGCCTAGCTTCCCTAATTAATGGCAGCACATCCAAGACAAGTATATGTGGCGCAAAACATGATGCACTGCCATAAATGCAACTGTTGGGTCGGAGCTGTCGACTATTGCGAACACGTAATAAAACAATTGCAATGTTCTCCAGCGTCGACTCAATGACTTGTTTTGAACAAGCTTGCGGGGTGCT